TATTTTTCAGATTCAAAATATTGAATAAGTGGTGTTTACGTTCCTCGTATTAGAATGGCGCCAAACTGGATGACGCAGTTTCGGTTTTAAATATCCTTAATAAATTCGACTCTTAGTCTATTTAAATCAAACTCAATACATTTAATAATAGAACATTCACACGTAAACATTTAATAATAATTCAGGAGTACAGATAAGCTTTAAAATAAGAATTACAACAGTTACAGGACGGCTACGCGTTTAGCGACCGAATTCTATGAATGACAAATCTCAAAAGAGTGTTGCCAACGCAGGGCCAAACAAGTGGCCAAAATATAACTTTATAATACAACAGCAAAAAATAAAAATGCTTTAATTCTAATGCTATTTCTCAATGTAATTACAATAAATTACCATTATGTTGCAATGTTCTAAAAAAATCGTCGAAAAATTTCCAGATCTCAGAATTAAAAATTTCCTATAGAAACTTATCTTAAAATCACTAAAATGTTGCTAAGTCACCAAATTTAGAGCAATTTAATAAAAGAATTCATATCTCCATAAGCAAAAAGTTGTTTAAAAGCTCTTCACTAGAAAAAATGAAATAATTTCAAAATGCTTGTGCTGCACTTCTTACTCAGAAACTCTATCCCACCATTTATATTAGAAATAGGAACAATTTATAACCCATTCAAATTTACCCATTCAAAAGATAAGGATATTTGTCAGCGAATTGCGAAAAATATTCTTCCGAACGCTAATTCACACTCAAAATGGCAATGGAAAAAGGACTTTTAAGGATTAAAAATCGATTCCAAAAAACTTAGGACTCTTAAGGACCGTACGGACCCTGAATAAGTTTATCAAATATTGGTATGTAACAAAATATATAAACAACCAGGCAAGCCTGCCAGAAAAGCAGACTGCCACAGGAAAATTTACAAATTCTAAGTACATCTGAAAAGCCAATGTATTAAAAAAAAACATTTCAATATGAAATATTTCAGCTTTATTAAAAATTTTCTGCCATACAAAGTAGGCAATATCTCTGTTTGATGGAGGACGCCATCTGCACCCTTCAAAACAACTGAAACTTCATTTCCTTTTGAAGTGTTGTAATGTCATCTATGCACCCTTGTACACTGCACAAAAAAAGGGGGGCAGTTCTACATCTGTTTTACTGGGCCCATTGACAAAATTAAAACTGCATTTTTCAAGTCTCGAAAGCATAACTTAGGATATATATTAGATTTATATATAGCATTGTTCTAACATAGGTATTCTGACACAAAACAGGACCTCTTTCTGAAAATGACATACCAATTTTTTTCAATATTTCGATTCTACAACTCAAACTGCGCCTAGATATTAAATTTTGTAGCTTTTGGCAAGAAATTTATGGAGAAATTAAAAAATTTATATTGGCGCATTTTTTTCAGTTGTGCCAAGAATAATCCACTTGGCAAACTTCTTTCTTTATAAACAACCTATTTTCCTTTCCTTTTTTTCATTGTCCATGAGCAGGGAAAAATGCCATCATACATATTCTCAAATAATTTTAACTAAGTGCATAAACCACATTTTCGTTATTATTCCTTATCTAAATTTCAAAACGTGCCAAAATATAAATTCACGTATATCTTAGGAAATTTTGAATAAAAAACTAATTTTTTGCAAGTATGCTTGGAAAATACACCCATTATGTGTTATCTAACATCTAATTTAAGAAGATGGCAAAAAATTTTATAGGTTATAAATCAATTCTTTCCGAAAATTTATAAAAATACATAAAAAATAGGTGAACTGCATTTGGAATGAATCTAAATTTTGAAATATGAAAGGAGGAATCAAGTTTAATAAAAAGATATTAATAAATATATATCAAATTCAATTAACACTGATGAGCTAAAATTTTAAAAACTATCCATGCCATTTTTACAAAACTTATCAGTTTGGCATAATTTGAATCGCAAAATCAAAATATGAGGAAAAAATTTGCATGTCATTTCAGAAAAAGTCTGATTTCCTACTTTCAAATAATTTTAACCAAGTGCATAAACCACATTTTATAAATATGCTAAACGCTATAATATATAATACGCTTATAAATATGCTAAAATTCAAAATGTGCCAAAATATAAATTCACGCATGTCTTGGGAATTTTGAATAAAAAAACCAATTTTTTGCAAGTATGCTTAGAAATACATCTAATTTAAGAAGATGGCAAAAATTTCATAGGTTACAAATAAATTTTTTCTTCGAAAATTTATAAAAATACATGAAAAATAGGCAAACTGCATTTGGAATGAATCTAAATTTCGAAATATGAAACGAGGAATCAAGTTTAATAAAAAGATATTAATAAATATATATCAAATTCAATTAACACTAATGAGCTAAAATTTTGAGAAGTAATTTTTTAAAAACTACATGCGCAAGTTTTACAAAACTTGTCAGTTTGGAATAATTTGAATCGCTAAATCAAAATATGGGGAAAAATTGGCATGCCATTTCAGAAAATGTCTGATTTTGTGTCAAAATACCTACTGTAAAAGTCCTTATTTTCGGAGGCTGCAATTTTCACAAAAATCAATATATGAGTGATTTCACGAGCTGAAAATTTCGCAAACTTTATATGAACATAACCGAAAGTTGAAAAACTTCAAAAGTACCAAAGTTGAGAAAGTTGAAGTTCAAAAGTTGAGAAAGTTGAAAAATTCCAAAAGTACATCTTTTGCATAAATTATTTTAGGAAACTTCATTTTGTCCGAAAAGTTAGTCCCCCCCCCATTCCCGTCTAAATGTAGAGTTCAAGCGTTTGCTCAAGAATGAGTTTATTGAGTGGTATTCTAATGAGCTTCAATTTCTAGAGGATGTGGTGTATTTAATTATGGCAAAGCACACGAGGGCTATCTGCCTAAGGGGAGGGATGCCTTCGTGGAGGACTTTCCAAGGAAAACTGGCTCGTATACACGTTACACATGGGGAAAACTACAATTTCTAGGGGAAAAAGAATAAAACCGATTCACACTTCTTGGCTTGTGCCTTCTTGGCTCGCGCATTTAACGGTATTAAAAGCCAAACATGAGATAATTTTGAATGGCTTCAAAGAAGCTAGTATAAATAGTGATGAGCTATTAAATAGTAGATGAGCTCTAAGTGAATGAGCTGCCTTCTGTTAATTTTATTGTTTTAATATTCGAGAAATATAGTTGTATATTATTCAAAAAATAGTTATAAAAAAGGAGAAAGTTGTCAAGAAAAAGCTTGTAACTGTGCAATAAATCATTAAATTTTGGGTAAGTGAAAAATTTCTGATTTTTTATTATTACTAGAGGCGGGGAAAAAAAAGTATTTCACGAGGCTTAAATTTTTGCGATTATGATGGGCTCGTGAAAATAAGGGCCTTTACACTATATTAGAACAATGCTATACATAAATTAATACATATCCTAAGTCACACTTTCGAGACATGAAAAACGCAAGCTAAATTTCTTCAATCAGCCCAGTAGAACGCAAGATATAGAACTATCTTTTTGTGTGTGCGTGTGTGCAGTGTACATATGGAAAGCAGCAGCAGTTACAGCAACTTGCTCTCATAGAGTTCCTTCTTCAAGTTTTTTCCTGCATATTGTAGTCTTCTGCATATGGATTCACATTACTTAAAACTACAAAGCTTTCAAATGTCTACAGTAAAGATGTTTAGAAAATGATAGAACTGAATCTTGCAAAAAGCAAACTTATGTAGAAAATGCTGATGTTTCAGATATCAGTGACAGAAGTTATCCATTTTTAGAATATATGTCAACACACAACTTTTAGACAACTCATGTAAAAACTGACTGTAATACGAATGGTGTTGAAAGAACAGTAGAAACTAAGAGTGAAAGTGAGGACATGCCAACATTAATCAAATTTAGAAAGGTTTCTAAGAAAAACTCAAAACTAAAAGGTGCTCATTAAAAAAAAAAAAGAGAGAGAGAGAGAGAGACCAAGATTTAGGAAACTGCATACATAATTGAAAAACTTGATGCGCAACATGAATAAAAGTTTCTCGTAAAAGTTAATTTTATCAAGTACACAAAAACATTTTTAGTAATTAACAAATTATACAAATAGTTTATTTTAGCATAATTTTCTATTTATTACTTTAGGTATTAAATTTACGAATAGTTATCTTATGTTTTAAAGGTGGTAACAATTTACAGTTCACTAATGTCCATCTATTAAACTCAAGTATGTTTGGAAGAGGTTACTTTAATAAGCAGCGAGTACTGCAGTTTTGTTAGTCTGGTAATATGTGGTGATCTAACACTTTTAGCTATTTTTTAGACAGACACTAAAATTAGTTGTTTTAATTCATTCCCCTGCCAATATAACATGCTTGAATTAAAAAACAGCATGTCATCCAAGAAATATATATATAACAAAAAGTTGTGTGTTGATCAATACTGATTTTTAAAATTGTGCTGCAAATAAATACGATAGTAAATGCATTATACCAACTTAATCTTAGAACATTTGTTTGCAGCACATACTGCAACCTGCCTGTCTTGTATAATTTCCAAATACTTGCAGAAAACAAATTTTTAGGTCTCTTAAAACAGAAGTAATTATAGTCTCTTAAAATTATAGTTGCTATTATTTTCAATAAAATTCTTTCTATTTTACTAAACAAACCATGTGCTTTGAAATTTAATTTTACTAATATCATGACAGGTTTAAAAAAAAAAAGCAATCTGAAGAAAATACTTAGGTCTATCTGGAAAGTTTTAGTACAATGTACATTTTTCATTTAAAAAAAAAAAATTAAAACAAATACCTAGTTGCAGCTTTTTAAATGTTTCCAAATTTATAACACATGGTTTGCAACAAAAATCAACTCTTATTACAGTACATTAAGGTTGCAGATTGATATGCAGACAAAAGAATATTGGATATCAGTTTTCAAACAACAGACAAGATTTTATTATTAAAACACATACCTTTCGGAGATTTTAAAAAAATAAGAAATACTAACTTTTAACTTCTGTTTATCATCCAGACACTTCTTCAGTAGAGCCAGTGGACAATTCACATAGGCAGTTTTCATCTTTTGCAGAACCGTCAGGTCGTCATCTCGCAAATCCTTACGTTCTTCACTCTAGTACAATAATAAAAAATTAAGTATAACTTCTTCATCATTATTTTTACACATATTTTAAATACATAGCATGCTTTCTTTTATTACACTCAAATCAGTTTACAGAAGTATCATGGACTAGACTCCATTTGCAAGATTTTTTTCTTCAGCATATTTAAGAATGCTTAGTATTTCATCTGTTAAAACCTTCCAACCTACAACTTAAATATATTTTTTCTGTTTTTAAACTACTGCAAAGTAATTTTCTTACAACAATGTATTCATGCTGGATATCAAACATTATGTTCTGAAGACTCATGCAAAGTTAGTTTCAAGTTCTTTGAGCAACAGCCTAGTTACCTGTAACTGCTACTCTGTCCTTCCCACCTTCGTCATTAAAAATTTCCAAGTAAACATACAAACAAGCATATAGAACAATTTTCCCAGAAAACTACCTATTGAGCACACACAAAAAAGTTTCAGTAATTTTCTTGTTATTCAAGCCTCTTCATTGTTACAAATACCAATAACCAGGTTGACAAACTAACATTTTGACAGAGAAGGCTGCAATTTGAATCTAACTGCCAGCAATGTCTTCTTAAGTTAGCATTAGTAATTCTTTATATATTTTATAAGAGAAAAACAAAATGCAATAAATTATATATTTTACTGTACTTTTCACAAATTTATTTACAACTAACAGTTATTTCATAAATTCAATTTTAAAAGGTGATAGCGTGACAGTTATTTCATAGTTTAAATTGCTTCAGAAAAGCATCCTTTACAAATTGTTTGTAAAAATCTTCGCTATACACCATTCAAAAATTGCACATGCATATTTTTCTATCTAATTTTTAAACTTTACATTCATATACAACAAACTATTTCTAATCTTATCAGATGAATTTTAATGTAATGAGTGACAATAATCTGCATACAAAAAGTGCAACTATTATAGGACATATTGGCTTGTATACCCAACATCCATAACTATAAACATTATTAGTGAATAGGATTCTTGCTGTTATTCAGCTTTCAATGTCCCCAAACATAAAATTGTTATCAAATTAAATAGGATTGACTGAATATTTTTGTGAATTAAAATTTAACTCATTACTGTAAGCATAAGAAAATTAGAGGAAGTTAAAAAAAAAATACTTAAAAATACATCAATAATAATGTGTTCAAAAGAAATTCTGAAAAATCTCTTTTTTGCAAAGAGATTAAAACAATATTTTACTCATAATGAGCATTTCTACAGAACTTCAAAATACAGCTGAACTGGTTTAGAAGTGCCCAGCTATATAAATTGCAAACACACAGTGCTACGATTTCTAAGATGTGATAAAAACACTTCCACTTCTAAAGAAAATGACATGCAAATGAAGAGAACTACAAATTTATAAGAAGGATTTTTAATAAAATATTTCCAGCAAGAAAAAATTAGAATATCTTAAACAAGCTTCTTAGAAACTGATGTGTAACCGTATTTTTTATAAACTCACCCCCTAGTATCTCAAAAAGTTTTGATTTTGTCTGCCATTTTATTAAAGACAGATTTGTTCCCCCCCCTCCTGATACTGTCCGACATTCTGATTTTTTTTAAATGAATAACTAATAATTTCAGATTTATTTTTCATACACAGGAAACAATGTAAGTTTTTCCCAGCTTTGAAACAAAAATACAGATCTCGGATCTATAATTGAAACACTTTTTGCTTATTCTGAACAAGAAATACTGCTATACACAGTTCATACCAGCATTTTTCATCTGGGTTGAACAAAAGCTTTGGATCAACAATATGAACTAGTGGTTTCATGACAAAATATATTTAATAATATTACAATAAACTACTGTCATTAGGTTAAGTCTAGAAATTCACAGGTAGTTAGTTCCTCATATTTTTGGAACCTTTAAGATGAGATTAATCTATTAACAAAAGTTTTACAGAAATTTATTTAAGCACCAACTAATTTAGAAAAAGTCAAGCCTGTCTGAGGCAGTCATTTTATACTATAACGAGTAATCAGACTGTACATCAATGCTTGTAATGTTCTAGTGAACTATGTTTCCATAGGTACACTTGTCATCAAAATTAAAGGAAAAGACAAAATATGCTCACCAAGTTAAGCATTGCAACTAATGCCATTCTTTATCTCAATAGAAGTGAACACAAAACTGCACTTCCGCACATACCTTAGTGCTGGAAATGTCCAAATTCAGTAACTGACAATGATGTGCAACGGACGCATGTTGGAATTCTGGTCAAGTGAATATGATTTCCAAGTGTGATTAGTCTTCTATTGTTATGGCTCAAAGGCATCATTTTAAGTGAAGGTCAAAAGTGGTGAATAACTGATAGAATCGAGGAAGATCAAACACAAATGCAGGTTGCCCAAGATTTGAATATTCACTCAAAGTATCATATCGAAAGTTCAGAGCTGTTTTTTGAGTGCTGGATCAGCTGATGGACAGCCCGGTGAAGGGCGATCAAGAGCAACAACTGCATCAGACGACAATTTTGTTTCATGGTCAATAACATTGCAAAGTGACTATAAGAAAATTGGTTTTAAACCATCAGGCTGCCACAGAAACTCTTGGCTGTTTCAACTGCTGCACAAAGGCTATTCAGCTTGGACTGCATGTGAGAAAACGAATGGTTTGTGTCCCACTCAATCCAGCTTTCAGAGTGTACAAAATGATGATATCATCATGATCAATGGAGCCAAGATGACTGGGCCTGAGTCCTGTTTACCTGACAAATCCAAATACAGCTGAACAGCGATTCTATATGTGTTTTGGTTTGGAGAGGAAGAAGCATGCAACTTACCTTCCCATGTCCATAGAATGTCCCGTTTCCACAATGTCTTGGACACCTAGCTGCATATCCTTCAAGGAGGCTCTGCAACCACTCTATGAGTTATTTAGAACCCCAAGTTAAGACTGTTTAGGGATGCTGCTGGCCCAGAGACAAAGCTTGGTCTCAAGTGTCCGAATACTTGCAATGGAAAATATCACTCAAATAGATTGGAGACTTTACTCACCCAACATGAACCTGACTGAGCATGCGTCGGATGCCTCACAGCGGCGAATTTCAGCACACCGAATTCCTCCCCGAACGCTCTAGAAGCTGAAAAGTGCACTTTTGAAGAGTGGGCAGGCAATTCCAAATCAAGATGTGAAGGGCATATCTGCCCAAGATGACCTATATGTTTCCATTATTTTCCAATTTCTCCATAAATTTGGTTTTAATTTCAACATTCTGCAGATATTATCAATTGCCCATCATTCTAATTTATGTTAACTAATGCTTTTGTACAAATTTTTATTAACACTTTTTCACTACATACCAGTTATGTTTCATTCTGTCATTATCCTTTAATTTTGATGACCAGTGCACAAGCCAACATAACCCTCCAGAAAAATAAAATATATTAATGTAAATTTGTATAGTGTGATTTTCATTATTTATGCAAATAAAAATATCATTTAAAATCTGTATCTGGTTTTAACAAAAGTTTCCCTTTATCACAAATATACCAGATTAGAACCATCCTTTACTTCCACTTCAGTTACAAAAAGTCAGCTACAAAGTGTCACCAACTCATGCGTACACAAAAGGGCCAACATTCAAGAAGCAAAGTGCTCTGGCCAGCCTACTGATGTTGATGAGGCCCACCAGTGAGAACTTGTGGAAAGAGATCAGAATGCAACCATTCAAGAGTTATGACGTTACTGCCACGTCCATTAGTCGCACATCAAGGTTATACAACAAATAGTGCAAATTCAATCGCTGGGTGCCACATAACCTGAATCAAACAAATCAGGAGATGTGTTCAGGCCTGCACTAATCTGCTCGAGTATCAAAGCAAGAAGTGGATTTACTTCAACAAAACCTGAAAAAGGTGTTGCTCCGCACCAAGTGTGCCCATCAGCAGCATCGCAAAACGCAATTTGACTAACGAAAAGATCACGTTTTGTACCTGGTGGGATTGCTGTAGTATTATCTACAGTGAGGGTAATAGAAAAAGGTAAAACGTCGACAGTAAGGTCTACAGCAAGATGCTAGCCCGTGCTGATGATATTCAAGGAAAAACACTGAAATGAGTTCTGGCACAAAAAGGTGATATTCCATCAAGATTTAATGCAAGACCAGATGCGTGTGCATTCACCTGCTGGACTCTATACGGACTCAAATGGGATGTTTTGCCACACCCACCATATAGCCACAACATCACTTTTTTAGACTTCTTTTTTCATACCTCCAACTATATCTTGCTGGTGCTATCTTCCATTTGCAGAGGATGTCCGAAATGGAGTTAATTTGTTTTGGACTCGCGGCCACCAAGTTGCTGGGCTGAAGGACTAAGAAAAACTCCTAAAACATTGACAGAAAATGACAGATCTGGGTGGTGATTACTACCTGCACTAAACCTACTGCTTTCCTGTTTGTTTTTTTTCCTAACTTTATTACGAACTTTTTTTTTTTGGAAAACTTCGGCTACAACCACATAATTTACATTTGATATTATATTGGAATCTTTTAATAACCTATGAATAAATATTTCACATGTATAACACATTCACTGCTGGTCAAGAGTGATTGGAGTTACTGCTGAACAGCCAATCAAGCTTTGGCATGTAGTGTTAGGGTGATGTCTCAGGTGCTAGTCACGTACTGGAGTGGAAAAAGCAACCACTCATTTATTTTCAAGTTCAATTGGCTTTATATTTTGAATATGTATGCTGGCTTAAGCATGGAGTGAAGGTTATAAACTAGTTGTACGTGGTTTGGAATGGAAAAAAGTTTAATTTCACGCAAAGATCATACACAAATAAGATTCTGAAATATATAGTTTGCAATATCATTTTATCTAATAATAAATTCATTTGTAATATATATGTGATATAAACTATTATTAAAATTATATACTTAATAATTATATAAATTAATTACTTATTTGATTCATTTTTAGATGTAATGTGGCATTGCAGAAATATTTTTTATCTCTATCACAGGTCTTGTGCTGGCACGTCATAGAATTCTGTTTTAAAGGTTTAGTAATCAATGTGGTACACATACTTTATTACCTCTTTTAAATCATATTTCTTATAATAAGTCATCATATAGACACTTTCTATGGCACAGCATTATCTATCAACACAACATCACATGACCAGCAGCGAAAGTATTAAAATTAGGTCTTGGGGGGGGGGGGGGTCCAAGCCCGGGAGGAAAAAAAAAAAAAAAGACAATAGTACCTTCAACAAATATAAACAGAAAGGCATGTAACAATCAAAATAATAATAGAAAATGTTTTTTTTTTTTTTTTTAAAGGCAAGTACGAAATCTCTTAAAATACAGTTTCCTAGAATATCAAAGTTATTCAACTACAAAAAGCTTTTGAACGTGATTGATCAATTACAAATTGTTTTGTAAACTCCAGCTGCTTAATATTCATCAGTTAACTATATTTCTTTGTGACACATATAGATGAATAGTAGAACTGCAATTTAAATGAGCATTAACAACATTAATGTTTCTTGCCAATATCCTCAAGTAGATTGACTTTGGTAGTTACAATCAAATCCAATATCCGGGACATGTATCCGATTTGTTGAAGGTACTATTGTCTTTTTTTTTTTTTTTTTCCTCTCCCGGGCTTGGACCCCCCCCCAAGACCTAATTTTAATACTTTCGCTGCTGGTCATGTGATGTTGTGTTGATAGATAATGCTGTGCCATAGAAAGTGTCTATATGATGACTTATTATAAGAAATATGATTTAAAAGAGGTAATAAAGTATGTGTACCACATTGATTACTAAACCTTTAAAACAGAATTTTATGACGTGCCAGCACAAGACCTGTGATAGAGATAAAAATATTTCTGCAATGCCACATTACATCTAAAAATGAATCAAAATAAGTAATTAATTTATATAATTATTAAGTATATAATTTATAATAAGTTATATCACATATATATTACAAATGAATTTATTATTAGATAAAATGATATTGCAAACTATACATTAGCATCATATTCTAAAACATTCAAGAACTGTGACTAAACTCACTTTTGGCTTTTCAATAAAAACAGCATTTCCTTTTTAAACAACTCATTTCTCTAACCTCTGAATTCACCAAATGATTCTTTGACAATATACAATTACAAATATAATATCCTTGATTCAGCTTATGGACGAAGAAGTTATTCAGAACTTTAAATGGACATGCAGGCAGATGGAACAAATTCATTAAATAATGGCTGCAATAATAAATTTTCAAGCTTAGTCTGCAATCTGCCATTATTGCTTGGTATAGTTCAACCGTCTCAAATGCAACCCTGGCTGGCATTCTGCAAAAACACATAAACTCGTCCAAAAGGGATGTTGTTACTTGCTGCGACGTGAAAGTGTTTTCTTCACCCCAAAGAGAGATGCTGGTGGGAATGAAAGTCCCTCATCCTTCCACCCTATTTTGAGAATAATTCAGTCCGAATAGCATGTTTGTTTGCGCTCATGGTCGCATATGAGGCGGTCGAAGTATAACATATGAAGAGTAACTCGACAAAGTTTGACAAAAGCTATCACCAAAAGTAAGGAAGCAAAATTCATTTGAAAAAGGTGAAAATACTCATCACCTATTCTGAAATGTGGAATATCATTCAATGTTCCTTTAAACAATCCACTGCTCAGAGTTTTAAATGATGAAATTAGCTACTATAGCATCCAGAAAATATAAATACTGAATTTATGAGAGCTTCAATAACAATGCAATAAATTCTAAAACATTCTGTAAAAATGTTAAATTATGCAGCTTATTTCAGTATTTTCAATCAATAAATACATTCATAGTATTAATGCACCTATAGCTGTGTTTCAAATTTTTCATTTTACTTTAAGTAATATTAAGGATCATTTCTAAAGCATTATAAAGTCAGATAATCCAGAATTTCCAAATACGTTAGATTATCAGACTTCATATAACTGAATTTTTTGGGGAGAGGGGGAAGAAACCAGAAATAAAATTTCATTTTAGAAACCACTTGTATAAAAAACTACTATAACTTTTTTATACAAGTTTAAAACCTGGATACAAAATTGTTAAATATCTGAATAATTGGCTTTTTTAATTTCTAAAACTAAATTTTACATAAAAAAGTGATTACAATTAGTGAAAATTACCTTAGAATGTAATTACAGTCAATTTTCTTCATAATTTGCATCTGGTACATCCTCCTTCAGAATCCAATAATAGTGGACTATCATTTTGAATTTTTTTTTCTTTCATATTATTTCTACTCCTATCTGATGAAGTTTCCATATTCTTCATTTACAGTTTTAGTTCTCTGTATTTAATATACTGATCCCTCTTTAGAATCCAATAGTAATGGGCTAACGTTTTGAAATTTCATCTTGTTCACATTATTTCCATTGCAGCTGATGAAAGTATTATGTTAATCTTCATATATGGTTAAGATTTTTTGTTAAAAATAAAGACGAAGAAAACTGCCTTCTGAGATATATCCCAATGTCATTCAGTTTCAACAAAAGCTTGCCTTTTAATTATCAAATTTTCTGCATTCTGGTTATACTCATCATCCTGTTTTTTTACATTCATTCATTATTCAGTTTTGTTCAATGCATTTCAAAACAAAGGATTACTGAAATATCGTATTTGAAAACTAATATATTTTGATTGGCTTCATTAACTTTGAAAAGCTTTTTCTTCCTCCAAAACAGAAGCTTTTCTCTCTTTTGTTCCCAGCCTTCAGAGTTATATTTGATTCAAAAAGTGATAGAGTTTTTCAGAGAAATTCACTCTTTATGATAGCAATGAAATCGTCAAAGTTCAAATAAGTTTGCATTATTGCAGAGTGCATATTTCTGCAACTTGTAGAGAATCCATTCATTTGACACCAATGTTTTCATAAAGTTCAGTTTTGGACAAGAAATAAAACATGCATCTAATATGGAAAGCAAACAGACTTAAAATAATAATATACAACAGAATTATAAGTCCTGATTGGCTTCCAAAGGGTTCAGGAATGAGGGCACCACAAATTTTCCATTGCCAGGTTTACTATGCAATATATGGTGCAGTTAACTAAGCCAGAAAGAGAAGAAATATGTGAGGGCACCAAAATCCTTAAAGTGCTCAAGGGCCTCTAAAGACCTCAATTTAGCCCTCCACATAATAAAAACATTAGTGGAGAATACTGAAGCCTGACTGAAAATAACCTTCATAACAGAAATCAGCAATCACAAGCTGTTTTTGCAAAAAAAACCACTGTTTATCATTTATTAATATATACAACTATTTCATACCTCAGGCACGGGAAAACAAAGTCGCTGATGGTCAAAATTTTGATGAGATAGATTAGAACAGATTACAAGAAAAAGCAAGAATACCAAAAGCATTTGAAGTCAGAGTTCTACTTCCAGTTTGAAGACAGATATGACAAATGAAATTCTGACAGAAATACAGGAGGAATTTTAACATTGCACAAGGATACATGGGAAACAAATAAGCAACCAGTCCATTCTCTTACCAAGAATGAAGCTCAGAGTTTAGTAATTATCTACAGCAACTAGCAGTGAGCTGCAAAATAAAATATATAACTAATACCAACAGATCAAATGCTAGTAAAACCTCATGCAAAGGAAAAAGAAATCTCTTTTTATAATCACTTATATATATGATCGTGATAAAATTTTCAAAGAGAAATTCTTTAAAAATGAAAATTCATTAGCACCATTACTACACGTTATCTCTTTTGCAGTAACCAATATTCAAATATCCCTAATCATGCATTTTCAACCACATCAGAAAATCATTAAATGTTATGACCACAGCTGTAAAAAGAGCATACCAAATCAAAAAGAAGTGCAAGAAGAAAAAATTATAACATGAATAGATGCACGAGGTAAGATTGTCTATGTTAGTTACGCTATGGGAATAAATTACAAACTGCAAAAGCTGAAGACTATAATGAATGATAATACATTATAAATTATCAAATCTTTTGAATTATTTACAAAGAAAAGGAACAGCAACCAACCATATAATTCAAGACACTTATCAAAACATTAACCAATAAGGAATTTTTGAGAAAATATTAAAACTCAGTTATTGTATTATAGCAAAAGGCTATAATGGCCTAAAAGAAATACTGGACTTTTTAAGGCAGGATTTTTCTTTTTCATTTAGAAATAGTACAATTTTAAAATATTCCAATATTACAATTTTAAATTTCCTGCCTGAAAACATGAATTTTATCAAATGATTTGCTATAATGCGAAATATCCTGCATTAATATCTCTGCTATAATACAATAATTGAGATTTGGATACAAATTCAAATCCCAGTAAAGGCACAGATGTCTCCAGGTAACTCAATTTTCAACAATGTTAGGCACAAAAGACAATAGCCATTTTAAAAAATGATGACACACTAAGAATATACATAGAAGAGCAACCAATTAACAAAATAAAAAATAAAAGAAACATCTATAATAGAATACTTTTTTAAATCGTTCTCCACATATACACAGCAATCTGTTTTAGCTTACACCAAACTGTTGCAGAAAACTCATCATGGACAATTTTGCATTGTGCACACTTATTGTTCTCCCTGTGTACACAGTGGTTTTGTTCTTTCCATGTATACAGCGATTTGTTTTCACTTACTCGGAGAAATGCACAAATTTGGCTCCATAAAATTTTATTGGTTACAAAGAACATCTTATGAAACGTGAATGATTACATTCCATATGGGGCAAGACTTATTTCTGAAGGAACTGAACACTTTCTTTTTTATCAGTGCACAAACTCCACAGTGTTACAAATAAAAAATTTAACTAAAGGAAACGGCAAAGTTGAATTGGAAACACCACTCGTCTGCTGGGAGCATGAGCATGCCTAAATTTTACCCATGTCATGGGTTGTCTATTTTGGCAATATAGTGGATTGCCGGGTGAATTCTTTTTTGGTTGGGCAGATAAGTAGAAAGTGGTTTTTTTTTCGATACTGCTAGAATCCAATTCAGATGGTTTCTGCCTGTTAATAAATGTTGGTAGTTTTCAGATGCAAAAATATTAAAAAGCAGATAGGTTAAAACGTCAATTTTTAGCCAATGCCAAAATAAAATAATTGTTTATGACAAGTTTTGTGCCCAAATGTCAAAAGAAAATACTCAAGAAGTCCTTAAATATCCTGATGAGATCTAACATACAAAATTGCTGAAGCGCAAGTTACATTCACCAATATCTTATAACTGCTATATTTAAATAACAGATTTAAATAAAATGTTTCAGATTGACAGACTGAAAACCACTTTTAAACTAAAATGGGAGCTTTTGAAGATGACCGACAAATCTACCTCATCAGCTTGAAGTGGAATGAATGGCTTGATCTAGTCCCCTTTTATTGTATTCTGAAAAGAATCAACAGGAAGGTCTCTACTGCCACTAAACTTTTGCAATTTCTAGTGCTACTGATTTCCAGGCTGCTTTTATGGTGGGATCTAATGAAAATTTTGAGATTGTCTTATCTACTATTAAGTATAGATACTCCCAAAAGTATTTAACCAAAGATATGCTATTTCCATTAATATGTTAGTGAGCAGAGTTTGTAAATAACTCTATGCTTGTCAATTCTTCCTAATAGTTAGTTTCCTAGATGTTAAGCCAATGTACAGTTTCTATGTTTGTACTTTTATTAAGGATTGAGCACACAAACTTGAAGTATCTATTGTGATGACATCTGATTTACTTGATTCCAACAATTCTCTTCTGAATAGAAACACTTTAGTTCTATGAATTACTTCATGGTTAAATAATGCTGAATACTGCCTAAGGTACTATATAATAGTTCTAGATACACATGGAATCTATCACTATTTGGATCATTAAGTATCCTTGGAAAATCAGAAGTAGCACTTCTTATAGCACATAACAATGGCCACTTGAGAGGCCGACTCAATTCTTTTTCAGTGACCTTGGAAGCAGCTATCAAATATTGATTGTAGGAATCTGAATGAATGCATATTTTTACGCTTTTAATTTACCCTGAAACTATTTTCGGGAGAAACATCAATACCACTTAAAATTAACTTCGAGTAAATTTGTCCATGCATTCACAATGTTCTCAACACCCGGAACTATATTTCGTGTTAAAATTTAAGGATAAATACTTTCTGTAAAAAGTATTGTAATAACATTTTGAATTTTGGAGGTAATCTTACCTTTTTTCTTTGGTTTTTGTTTTCTCTGCAAAACCATTTATAAAGATTGGTACTTAGTATTAATACAACTATCTTCGCACAAATTTTTTTAACAACTAAAAAAGTAGAAGTTACAGTGTTTTTGGCAACTTTCAGGATGTTTTTTAAATGATTCCCAAACTATCTTGTCATAAGTCAGCAAACATCAATATATCAAAATAAAAAACCTTTTAACTCAATATACAAACTTCAGTTATTGAAAAAAATTACACGACACATTAAAAAATTAAAACATTTTCCACAAATTTCTATACTTTTTGGAACTTAAATATACGTGCAAGGTATAGTTTGGCAAATTTTTACAGAAGAAAAGAATGATAACCTATGCATATTAGAATATATTCTAAAAAGAATAATGTCTTTTAATTGAAAAATATTTATTGCAAAATTATACATATATTAAGCATATTATAATAATGAAAATCAATGGATAAAATTAATTTCAGAGATTTTATTTTCCTTTCTCCTGGTAGTAATTCACTGCAATCGCTTTAAGAATAGAACGAAACAATTGTCATTCCCACTATTTTTTTATAAAAAAGTTTAAATGCAACAAAAAGAACACATATGAAAATGGCGACCTCGCTTGATAAAATACATGATCATAAGTCCATAAATTTGTGCATATTTTTTGGTAAATTCTTAAATATAAAAAACACAAACATTTTAATCAATTATATATTTTCCTCCATTATCTACAATGTCTCACCATCTTACAGGCAACTTTTTATGCCATTGATGTAGAAGACTTGGTTTGATGCAAAAAACTGAAAGTTAAATGTGTCTATCATTTTAATTTAATTTTCCCAGTAAAAATTTGTAAGGCACGAAATAGTGAAAATCACTTGGGTAATATGCGGAGTAAGAGGATGTGGAAAGCTCCCAATTAAATTCATATTTTTTGCAGAGTTGTTTGAGCCATATGCGGTTTAACGTATGATAAAAACTTGTGAATTTCACCAAGGTGTGCGTTTTTGACAACCTGAGTTAGACGGCAAAGTTACACTATACCTTCTGAATTAATCGTTTGATTTGGTCTAAGATTAAAACGTCCGAACGGGGTTCATCATCAATGCTGCTTTTCCAACTTAAATTTTTTACATCTGGCAGTCCTTACACAAATATGTACATTACAGCAAAAGTCATAATTCGGATCATAGTGACTTGGGATTCCGGATTATTGATCATCAGTTTAAATCTGGTAAGATGGCATGCAGAAGTTATAAAATTAAAAATATGAAACCGTAATTTATGAAATAAAGAACAATTATGATCTAAAGGGTATCAAAATTTACAAAAAAAAAAAAAAGCTTAAAAGCTTATATTTATTTGTTTACTTTTATTAAACATTTCTTTCAATGTAAGTTGTTTAAGTTGCTTTGTTTTATGTGATAATACTTTCTCTTTAATTCTATAAACAGACATAATTTCTTCTTCAGTTACAAAGTTCCGCTGTTCAAGTCCTATAATTGCTGTGTCGAGAATACCGACTAATTTGTCAATCGAAATTTTTTCGTTTTCAATAACCTCTGTGTCACTTTCTTCACTATCGGAAGCGAATTATAATGATGAGGAGGAATTTGATTTAAATCATATCAAAGACGGAGTACATCGAGATAAAATACTACATTTAGTAAGGAATTATAAGACAAATAAAATAAAAACATCTGCCCTGAAGATAAGGATAGTGCTGACAGATCAACTTCCAATTCATTGCGCGCGTGTCGTTTCCCTTCCCCCGCAGAGAGCAGCGTGAAATTGATAAACATATTTCGGAATGATTAGATAATCAAAGGATATGCCTTTATCCATTTTTTGCAGCAATTCCACTTTTGGTTTAATGGACTTCGAAACATACTTTCGCTTTGTAGATCCTTTACATATTAGTAAATATATATCGGAAATTCTATTTGACATAATCGAAAGTTCAAGCTTACTTTTATAAAATTGCTGTAACAGTCTGCAAAAAATAATAAGCCGGATCCAATTCGAAGATTAAGGAACAACGCAACTACATACCTAATTAGATAATTTTATTACTAAACCCATTCATAACGGCTGCGCACGGCATATAGCGCCGTAAATTCGCGCAGGCTTACGCCTGTGCAGAAGTTGTAGCTTTGAGGTCCGAAATAACGACTTTGATGTATTAATTTTTATCGCTGCAAACCTGGTAGATTCACCACACGAAAATAAAAAATGTAGCACAGCACGTTTGTACTGATTATCTATATTCATCTTTATGGGTACTAAAATGCATTCAATATTTACGAAAGTTGATGATAAACTGAATAATATGTTTCAACAGGTTCAAAACTGTATTTAGTAAATGTGTCATAGTGAATTCTACGC